GCATTGTCCCATAGTCCCACGTTAGCAAGTTGTCAGTACTAAGAACTGATCTACGCTCAAAGTAGTGAGCCTCCACTATCAGCTGACTTCCTGTAACTAGAGTCAAACCACTAAACATGTCAGGAGAGGCAAAAACAACCTGCTTCCAACAGTTGAATGGCTTGATTCCTCCAGTTTCCTACAGTCTATGTTAGTATCTGGTTGAACCTTCAGGTCGAAAATTTTTTGATCAGTCTCACTCGATTAAAGTGCTCAGCTGCACTGTAATCAGGCGACACCTTGAACAAGAATTGGCCGCACTTGAAGCAAACAAAGCGGGAGACGCGTGTAAAACAATGAAAGCCGGAGTGAAACCAAGTCGACGTCTTGCTGAAGAAGTGCTCCGAAGTAGTAGCGAAGATACCGAAGAATTAACGAATAAAATCGAAGAATAGTCGAAAATAAGCCGAAAACCGACCGAGCGAGAGCGATGTGAAAAACATACCTAAGTTAAAACCCAAAGAAAAGAAATTTGGAGGGAGGACCCACACCAGCCCCAGGGACCCGCTAACTAATCTAAGTTGACGAAGGAAGATTACGACGAATGAGAAGTTTGTCAACTTCTGCTTGAATTTAGAGATAAGGTTCAACCAGAGCTCTATATTACACCCCTCCTTCCCAAACCTCAAAGAATTTCACAAACCGGGTTTTTTTTAGCCTTCCATCAGCGTCTTCTAACTGACTTGTCTCCAGTCTACTCGTATGCGACGGAAATGGAGAGTAGAAGGGGGCGTTAGCCCTCTTCTTCGCTGCCTTTCACATCCTAATACAAGTGGACCTGGTGACAGAAGTCAGCTCTCTACTTGAATGGACTGAAATGGACTGGACTGCATGAAGCTGGATTGCGTTGAAACCCACCATATGGAACCGGATTGGACCAGACAGATTGGGAAGGACTAAAAAGGACCGGAGTGGACTGGATGGAATGTCACAGGTTTGGAGTAGACTGGACTGAACTGGTTTAGTTTGAACTAATTGGACTGAAGCTCTACATTGGATTGCTGTTGGTTAAATCAGTTAGCTCCACTTGTAGCCGCAGTGAACATCCAATATGATGAATCCGCCGTCAAACGCAGCTTTTCAGAATGAAGCGACCCTTGTCAAGTTAAGAAAGAATTTTAAATTTTAATAAACCAAATTTAACATGTTCCCCGTGCAAGAATTCTTTGAATTATCAAACACAATGTAGCAAGTGGATTCAAACTAAAATCAGCGTTGTGGTCGTTACAAGCACCATCATTTACGCAGAAATACTTAGATTGCTTAATTAAACGTTTTGTTTAAGTTACAACAAATTTTATTCCTATCCCCGAAAACCACATAGCGTATTCAACTCCACAGAAACAATTTTACAATGGGCAACTAGAGCGTTGAACGTCGAAATTGTTGAGAGCAACGCGGTATGAAGTTTACAAAGAAGATTAGGACGCATATTTTCACATATTTACATGTGGTAAAGCTAAACTTAAAACTGCTTGTAAAAGTGACTTCTTACTAACCTTCTGTGTCTGAGTCGTCTCCTACCATTCACATATAACGCGCTATGCCTATCTGTTGAATGATTGTGCATAGAAACTGATAATTTTCCTCTGTCGAAGTTTGCTCTCAACATCTCGAGCTCTTCTTCTAAATCTTGGAATGACTGTTAACACTACGCTACTCTTCACGAAAGGCCACGAAGACCCACGTGCATGGATCATGTCTGATTGGCCCAATTTTTTTGCACGGGCTTTCAGCGTCAAAGTGTCATGCATTATTATGCGCACAAGCCGCTGACTGCTTGACTTTTGTAACCACGTCAGCCGTATCTTGCTGTCTTCAACTCCGGAAATTCTCGCATTTTACATGTTTTATTTGTTATTAAATTTTTTCATTCTTAAACTGCATATTTTTCCGTCCTTGTTTAGGCCTCTCCATAAATGTCGTGCGTGATTGCTATTATTTAAATTGGCGTTTCCGACTTCAACTCAAAGAGTTGAAACAAAAGAATTTTTGGCTAAAAAGTGAGGCTAAGAAGGTAATTTATATTTTAAGCAAATGAAGATCATCGCAGTATATACTCAACTTAAGCAGTTGAGAAATAAGGCCTGAAAAAAATTCAGGCCTGAACGGGAATCGAACCCATGACCTCTGCGATACCGGTGCAGCGCTCTAACCAACTGAGCTATCAAGCCAACTGGGAGCTGGTCAATTGTGAGTTCGTTATATACCCGTAGATGGAGAAGGTGTGATAAGAATACATGAAAGTCATATATTTGTACTGCGGAAAATACATTTTAAGCAAATGAAGATCATCGCAGTATATACTCAACTTAAGCAGTTGAGAAATAAGGCCTGAAAAAAATTCAGGCGAACGGGAATCGAACCCATGACCTCTGCGATACCGGTGCAGCGCTCTAACCAACTGAGCTATCAAGCCAACTGGGAGCTGGTCAATTGTGAGTTCGTTATATACCCGTAGATGGAGAAGGTGTGATAAGAATACATGAAAGTCATATATTTGTACTGCGGAAAATACATTTTAAGCAAATGAAGATCATCGCAGTATATACTCAACTTAAGCAGTTGAGAAATAAGGCCTGAAAAAAAATTCAGGCCTGAACGGGAATCGAACCCATGACCTCTGCGATACCGGTGCAGCGCTCTAACCAACTGAGCTATCGAGCCAACTGGGAGCTGGTCAATTGTGAGTTCGTTATATACCCGTAGATGGAGAAGGTGTGATAAGAATACATGAAAGTCATATATTTGTACTGCGGAAAATACATTTTAAGCAAATGAAGATCATGAATGTATTTTCCGCAGTACAAATATATGACTTTCATGTATTCTTATCACACCTTCTCCATCTACGGGTATATAACGAACTCACAATTGACCAGCTCCCAGTTGGCTTGATAGCTCAGTTGGTTAGAGCGCTGCACCGGTATCGCAGAGGTCATGGGTTCGATTCCCGTTCAGGCCTGAATTTTTTCAGGCCTTATTTCTCAACTGCTTAAGTTGAGTATATACTGCGATGATCTTCATTTGCTTAAAATGTATTTTCCGCAGTACAAATATATGACTTTCATGTATTCTTATCACACCTTCTCCATCTACGGGTATATAACGAACTCACAATTGACCAGCTCCCAGTTGGCTTGATAGCTCAGTTGGTTAGAGCGCTGCACCGGTATCGCAGAGGTCATGGGTTCGATTCCCGTTCAGGCCTGAATTTTTTTCAGGCCTTATTTCTCAACTGCTTAAGTTGAGTATATACTGCGATGATCTTCATTTGCTTAAAATGTATTTTCCGCAGTACAAATATATGACTTTCATGTATTCTTATCACACCTTCTCCATCTACGGGTATATAACGAACTCACAATTGACCAGCTCCCAGTTGGCTTGATAGCTCAGTTGGTTAGAGCGCTGCACCGGTATCGCAGAGGTCATGGGTTCGATTCCCGTTCAGGCCTGAATTTTTTTCAGGCCTTATTTCTCAACTGCTTAAGTTGAGTATATACTGCGATGATCTTCATTTGCTTAAAATGTATTTTCCGCAGTACAAATATATGACTTTCATGTATTCTTATCACACCTTCTCCATCTACGGGTATATAACGAACTCACAATTGACCAGCTCCCAGTTGGCTTGATAGCTCAGTTGGTTAGAGCGCTGCACCGGTATCGCAGAGGTCATGGGTTCGATTCCCGTTCAGGCCTGAATTTTTTTCAGGCCTTATTTCTCAACTGCTTAAGTTGAGTATATACTGCGATGATCTTCATTTGCTTAAAATGTATTTTCCGCAGTACAAATATATGACTTTCATGTATTCTTATCACAAGGTAATTTATACAGATGAAAAAATTACGTGCGTCTGATGGGCTGAAATCGGGTGCATTTTTTCACGAAACACGAGTGCAAAGTTGTAACACGAATGGAAATTACAAATAGCTCACGCGCCAAAACCTCGTCCGTCTTGAGTTTTTGTGACGTGCAATTTAGATTTCCAAAGTTTCCATCTCAAAGGCTTCGATAATGTGATAATTTTCCAAAACACTGACAGCGGGCAAATTACTCGAAAAAATTTAACAGACACGTAAGTCTGCAGAAACAATACTAATTGGCCCCAAAGGGATACCATCCTAAGCTACACGAATTGTTCGCTCCTATCACGGCAATTCAAACTTGCGCTGGTTTGAGGGTCTTTTTAAATTTTAAATTAAAAATTCAGTTTTTCCAATATATTCCTGTGTCTTTATAGTGAGGAGAAAGATCGTTTTCATTGTCACCTTGCTTTTCATTTACCGCTGCATTTTTACCTTAAAATCTTCTGATTCATCACGATCCCGTTGCCTTCGCCGTGTCCTACTCTGCGTAGTGGTCTTTATTCTGGAAACGTAGACAATTGAGACTCACGCGCTCCCAAAAGTCCGAAGGCAGATGTTAGACTTAACAAATCTTTAATAAAACGCATTCTAAAGACTAATTTCTGCTCACGAAGGAATTATAGAGGCTTTAGACATAGTTTGAAGCTACACTGGTTTGCAGATTTAATGAAGTAACCGAAGAAGTTACAATTCATAGACCCAACGTTTCGACACTCCTGTCTAGTGCCTTCATCAGGGGTGATCTAAACGCTGCAACAAGAGGTCCTTTTATATGATCACTAATAAGCGGCCTTTTTTTCTGACGAGGTGTAAATAGGCGTCAGGAAGTAGACCGCCATCGTCACGATTTAAAGGAGCGTGGGCGGAGTTAATGTGCCAAGCCTCCAAACAAAGGCGCTGGTGGTAACGCCGATTAGTGGTGATAATTTTAGAATTATCCCACCCAATTGTATGGTTGGTTAGGCAAGTATGCTCCGATAAAGCTGAATTTTCCTTTTGCAAAGAAAAACCGCTTTTTGGTGCTCTTTTAACCGTGTACCAATATAGAGGCTTTAGTTGTGTTTTTTTTATTATTATAATTTTTTGTGGGAAAAAATAGAAGCCAATAGCTTTGACAAATTGACAAAATTTATAATTTATAATAACTGGCTTTGACACGTAAGCACGTTTTCTTTCGCGACTCTGACCTCGTGAAAGCACAGTACCAACTGACCGATTTTTTGCATAACCACAATTGACAAGCCCATTTTGTTGTTTTTGGGCTTCATTTACGCTTCGTTTTACTTGTTTAACTAATATGAAAATCCTATGAAATTATAGAGTACCTCAAGTCAATGGATTATCTTTTAGAGCTCTTGCGAGATCAGTTCCCTCGCAAAACAAAAATGTAACAACTAAACGACTAAAACAAGCATATTTAAGTCTAATATTTGTATTGTTTTGTTTTATTATATGAAAAAATGTAATTTAACTTAAAGGATATCTTATTAGCTAACTATAATTTGCCCTTTTTCATTTTCTCTCTTCTTTTCTAACATTTGAAAAATGAACATTGAAAAAGTTTGTATAAAAAACAGTACAAAACAAAAACGATAAACTAAGTCCTACAATGTACACCTAGGATCTAATCCTATTCTTGCACGAAGATCATCGAACATATTCTTGTTTTTTCGTCTCTTCTCCCAAGGAATTACAAAAGATTTCGAGTCAAAAACAAAGAATGGTCCATCTTCGTTTGCCATGATCATATAGTTTTTCCTCTCTACCAGCTTAGGACATGCACATCCTGCTCTTTTCTTGAACTCAATGAAGTCTCCTTGTGCGAAGTTTGTTTTAGTTTTCTTGATTACCTGGTCTATCCTCATTTCATACGTGATCCAGGACTGCTTTCTCGTGTCCACCTCATCTAACAGGATCACTTCGCCAATAAAAGCTGTAGAAATAATAATAATACATTTACAACAACGTAAATTAGTGATGGTTATAGGAATGAGTGGAGTCCACCGATTCGGTCTGTAACCATACAAGTGATAACAACATCGAACGACCGTGCAGCGGGAGTCCGATCTGTTTATCACGAGTATGATTACGGACCGAATTGGACGACACAAAGTCTTTTTACCAATCAATCATAAAAATTACAATTTCCGAGAAACAGGAATAGCCAAGTTATGAAAGAAAGGGAAAATTTGCATTAAAAGACTGACAATTGGTTGATTTAAACTGCAACTTTTAATGTGATTGGTTGATTTTAACCCCAACTTTGAATATGATTGGCTTATTGAACTGTCCGACAACAAACTGTCCGATAATAAACTCTCCGATAACAACTTGACAGGTGAGTTAGTGGAAAATAGTTCTTTAAACCACCCCTGAATCAAACATTAAAGTCACGAGAGCAAAGAAAATGATCAGCAACCAAGGAAGCTCTTAATTGTCAAACCAATTCTCCTTGTCAGCACCTAAGGAAATGTATAGAGAACAGTATGGAGAATATGCGTACTGATGTCAGGGCGCTACAGTTGTATTATTGACGTTTTATATTGTGACTTCTGGGCATGCTCACATCATTCTTCACCTTTTTTTAAGACAGAAAATTGCATTATCATTACAAGTATCTCACCAAAGTCAAATTCGAGGCACGCTTTTTTCTTTAGCTCCTCAACTTTGAATTCACGCTGGACACAAGACAAGCAGTCATCTGAAGAAGAATAACAGCAAAAAACGCTCTCAATCTTTTTGTGCTGTTTTAATAAATGCCCAAACGCGAAATATATAATTTCGCAGCTATTTTTTAAGCAAAAGCAAACAAAGAATCCCTAAAGTGACCCTCTCTCTCAGTACTAATGAAATGGTGACATGGTACAATTGATATGATGCAGCCATAAATCAAAATGCGCTAAGGCGACAGTGGAGGTGACACGAAGTCTTCTCTGGCAAAAAAGAAGGATTATTGAAAAACCAAGCCGTCAAGTTGGTGATATCAGAAAACAAAGACCAGAACACAAGATTAAGTGAGGTTTCGGGTGCAGAATGTCTTTGTCCTGAATCTTATTCGAAATAATCTCCCAAAAACCGACACAATGACCCTTATTCAAGTTTCCAATAAAAGCCAGTGTAATTAGGAACCAAAAGTTACCAATTTTTCTTCAAGTCCTCTATCACGATTCGCAAGCAAACTTTGGCTTTGAGATAGAAAGGTTGCTTTTGCAGCTTGTGAATTACAGTTCAAAATACATGAGCAAGGAGATTAACCTCCGTTACCATGGGTACCATTAGGGTATACAGCAGAAGGATGTTATAAGTAGTTTAGGTAAGTACTCCGCTTAAAGTTTGATAAATGTAAAAACATGATACATTATGCCGTAGCAATGATTGTGCCGGTTGACGATACCTTGAGAGCATTTACAGTAACCATCTTGACAAATGCCTCCCAGCAATGCGCTTCTCGTCGAGGGTGTATATAATTCTGTACAGGATTCATCTATTACAAGACGCAAACCAATGCAATGAAAAATTATAACTGAACTTTACAGACATTTTCTTACTGACCAAATGCAACGTTACCAGCGGTATTTTTCGTGAGCGAGAATAGCTGTTTTAGTATAATTAACTTTGTGATTGTCCAAGCGACGGTATTTTCATTCAATTAATTTTTTGATTTTTGAAAGCATCAAAAGTGTGCGAAGGTAACGTTATTGATTATGTAATCAGTAATCAGCATCATAATCGCCCCGCCTCAGTTGACTCTAGCAAGATATAGCGTATTCAGATCGTGCGAATTTCAAAACTCGCTTGAGTTATTGTGGAAAATATTGACTATATCCTTTATCTTTTTATTCCCCTGGTTTGTAATAATCATAGACTTTGACAGGAACTGGTTGGACTGTTCCCACATCAAACTCTCTTTTCACAGTAAATGTAGCACAAAATTCATCGATACTAGAAATCTATGAAAAACGCAAACGAGGATAAACATTCTTTTATAAAAGTTACTAAAGTCAAAATACCACAAGTTAAAAAGCTTTCCGTCAGTTTACCAATCCATTTCACATTTTCGTTTTCTTTGATTACAATAAACTAAGGGGAAACCAAGGATTTCAAAATAAACAAAACTCGGTTTTAGAGTATACAGCTAAAATAATTCATGATTAAAGAAAATGTTTTTTTTTCTAGAAAATTAGACTTCCTTCAAAAAACCTGAGTCATTTTACGAAACTCTTCTCATAATTTTGTTGGTGAACCAAATATTTCACTGGAAGGAAATCTTGAAAGCGTTGTTTTAGTCTTGGAATCTCTACTTCACGCATATCCTGCGTTCTACCTGAACTTGAAGTCGTATTACCGATTCCGCCCTTCAAAACTCCCTATCAACTTCATGATCATTTTACGATCGAAAATACTGTTGGGAATTTTTGTCGAGTCTATCACAATCACTATCTTACTTGATGAGAGATGTGTGAGAAGATGAAATCAGGCATATAATCTACCTTCAGGTATGATACAAGGGTCGACCAGATATCCGGTAAGACCCCCTCGTACTTACATACATTTCGCCTTTCAATCCCCCTGACTCACAGGAATCATTGCAAACACTCACTTCCTCCCTGCTGAGCAGGGCTTCTGGGCTAAATATCTAATTATTCGTTGCTCATAATTAGCGTTTGCACTTTTTTTACGATCCGGTTTTCTCTCAAGTTACAAAAAGGCAACTTAAATTATTTGACAGCTCGGTCCATTCAGTGACCTGTCTTTATTTATCGCCAAGGTGTCGGAGGATCTCGGGGGGGATTGCATGGTATCCAGGGGGGACACAAGAGGATCAGTTGTCACTAGTAGAGTATACAGCGGGAGGGGGGGTGGGCAATAGTCATTTGACTGCCAATGAGGGGGTATCATGAGAATAATACAAAGCCTTGGGGGGGGTTCAGTGATAGGCCTTTCCCGATTATGCTACTAAAACTGGCATTTTATGCTCTTAGAAATTCCGCTTTACGCCGAAAAGAATGCTCAAATTATGCTCGATTCTCAAAGTAGTGCTACTTTGGTCTCAGAAAATGCTTTGTTTAATTTCAAGCAAAACGTAGAAACTCAGGCATTATGTGTGTATCAGCAACTGAATAAAGTGAAAAGTGTTTAATTGTTTGTTTATGAAACTTCTGATTCAGTCAAAACTTGTCCAATGATAAACAGTTAATTAATGTTCGAAGTCCTTAGCACTTGTTGTACTGTGACATGACGCTGGCTTGGAGGTAGTCAACAAGAGCACAATTCTGTTGCTCGTTGAAAGACGCCTTCAGTATTGAAAATACTCTTTCTGTCGTCGCAGACGATGGTTGGACAAGGAGAACATGCCTCAATGCGGAAGCCCAACGAGGAAGTTGCTCCTCGTGCCCACACCTCCATTCGACTTTCTTCTCTTCAGTCGGGATAACAACACCTTCAGTAACAGCCAAATAGGCAAGAAGCTCGGCTTTGAGACTGTCGATGATAACATCACTATCCAGGGAACGGAATGCTCTCAGAGACTAATATTAATGCATTTGTGGGCTTAAGCCACTGGATCCTAACGGGGCAGAATAGTCTGGCAGCCTTGAATGCTACCACTACGTCATAAAAATCGACATTGAATTTTCTCAGAAACCACGTAATTGCCGGCCTAACACAAGCCTTCGCACTCTGTTCAAGTGCTGTTACGTTCTGACATGGGTCTTCCTCCGTAATTGCAGTTGCAATTGCACGAACGTTAGGGAAACAGGGAGCTTGACAAAATTGGGAAAAGGCGCTTAGTTTCTCGTAACAGGCAAAAACCAAAGGACCATCTCTTCCAAAAAGTACGTGGCTTTCACAAAATGTTCGCCAACATCAATAGTAGCGGCAAGCCCAAGCTTCAAGTTCATTTGTCGCTGTGGGTCAGAAAGTGTTGCTTGAAGCTGTGGTAATAGCTGTGGGCAAACTTTTACGCCCTTTGCCTCTCCTACGAACCTTGCGACATCTCCAAACTGCACCATCAACTGATGATACACCTCCCATTTGGACCACCATCTAGTCTCGCTGTATGATCTTAGTGTTTGACCCGTTAGATCCTTCCATTATAGCTTGGCTTTACAACTATGGCAAAACATTCTAATCCAAAGGCTTCTAAACTCTACCGCTGTTAGGATCACTAAATGGTTTCCCGCGTTATCAAGTGTATGAGAGAAGCACAAGGTCCCTTGTCATGCCAACTTGATCAGGCATTTCCAATTCTTGCTTAATCAGTTCAATTTCCTGTTTCAAAGCCATGGAAACATACTGTCCTAGATGAGAGCTTCCAGTGAGTCGATAGCTGTTCTTCTCCAACATAGACCGTAGCATGTCTATTTTACCGATCGGGATACCCGCCTTCAAAAACTCACCATCAACTTCGAGTCTGTAGGCACATTCTTCCACAGGCAACGTGCCATCTTTGGAACTTCCTTAATTCTCTTCTGAATACCTCAATTATGGTCTGGTCTTTCAATTTCGACTTTTTCAACTTCTCTTTACCGTTTTGATGCTTCTAGGACGAAAAATGGATTTTCGGAACACTTTTCTTGGAGGAAATGATTTCTCTACATCCACTGAAAAACAACTTTCCTTGTCTGACAATCAAATGCTCGCCTGGGAACTGCTTAACTCGCTCATATAACGGGACATTCGTTGTATCGCTGTTTCCTCTCCGCTTGTAATTTCCATTGGTTGATTCTAAAGATCGATCTCGAGCTATCTTTGAAGGGACTAGTCTATGTTCTCCTCCAGAATTTCCTTCTATGAGCTGCAAGTATCGCGAAGATGGCGTGGCTCTGGCTGACGCCATCTTGTTTGTACATGCGCGTGAACGGCCTCTGAAGGTTAACTACTGACCAGCTGCATTCATACAGTTACAGAAATCTTTCTCTAAAACACAAAAGCAAATCATCACAATGTTTTTGAACTCTAAAATTTAGCATTTAAACTCTTTTGAGGGCTGAAATAATGTGAAATAATGTTGTTTTGCAACCTAAGACTAATATTCAAACCTTACTGTACAGGAATCAGCTTTGAAATAAATATGTTTAAATTCGGGATCCATTCAGCACCATATTCATTAAGGCCATTCAGCAGTCTTTCTGACCTATCTTACCACTTTTTAGTCAAACGCTGGTAACTTTTTTATACCATCGATGTCATCTGATTCTGCTAAATTATATCTTTACCAAACGGTTTACAAACAATACGACCGTGGGTAACCGTTAAGTTAATTTCTATGTGCTTAGCTATAGTTCGAGGGAGCTGGAAGGAGCTGGAAGGAGCTGGAAGGAGCTGGAAGGAGCTGGAAGGAGCTGGAAGGAGCTGGAAGGAGCTGGAAGGAGCTGGAAGGAGCTGGAAGGAGCTGGAAGGAGCTCGAAGGAGCTGGAAGGAGCTGGAAAGAGCTGGAAGGAGCTGGAAGAAGCTGGAAGGAGCTGGAAGGAGCTGGAAGGAGCTGGAAGGAGCTGGAAGGAGCTGGAAGGAGCTGGAAGGAGCTGGAAGGAGCTCGAAGGAGCTCGAAGGAGCTCGAAGGAGTTGTATCTTGCTCTATATGCGAACGACTGAGTTTACTTCTTCTTTATTTTAAGTATTCTGCAGGAATTCATGCCTTTTAGTCTGTAAGTTCGAATAGAAAATCGCCTTGTCATTGTTTGGGGATTATACTCACAAAGGCAATATATGAATGAATTGGCATTGTTACATGACTTAGATGGACTCTTTCAGGCTTTATTCTCACTTCTGCGCATGCTTGAGCAAAGTTCAGTACCGCAATGATCACTCTGATGCATCTTCACGACTTGGAGTGAAACTAGTGTTTTCTACCTCGGAGAGTTAGAACGCATCAATAAAAAAAATACTATTGTCTTGAATGACTCCATGTTTATTTATGCACAGGTGTATTGTCAAGAGTGTTGGAGAAAAGAGCTTCAGGTAAGAAAAGCCTTCGGTGATAGAAATACTGTAAATGTTCTGTACTTTGCCAAAAAGGTCGAACAGTCGAACTGTCGAACTGGCTCTGGTGCAATGTGTCATCGGGGCCAAAATTAGACCTCAGCACTAGAAGAAAAGTGAAAAAAAAAAAAAAAGTTTGGGACCCGTTAAAAGGAAAATCGTCACTGTTTGTCTATCATGAAGAATTCAACCTTAATTTTTTTCATGTTCGGCAATTTACATTATCGTGTCCTTCTTCAGTCTTTCTCTTCTTTAAGGTGCACGATTATTTACAGAAGGTTTATTGCTGGGACAATAAAAGTTCTTCAAAATTACGTGACGTAGCTCTTTACATGTGTGGACATATGATTAAAACCGCATTATTTACCGTCAAAAAAGATGAAGGCGGCCTCATTGTTAATCTCAAATACAAACATGATTGACTTTCAAAGAATTTCCTTACATCGCCTTCCGTTCGCAAAGTATCCGTCAGATGTAAGTGACAGATTATGACTACCCACGGGAGCT